TTATTCTGGTTAAATACATAACCGATTAGATCATTCAATTGACACAAGGGCTATTCTCAGGTGGTTAGGACGTCGAACTTATCAACTTTGCCATTTTTCGACCGCGTTCGAATCCTGGAGGGGCAGAATTTTTTGTTTTTTTTTTTAGTTTTTTTTTTTATTTTTTTTTAGTTTTTTTTTTTTAGAAAATGTGAAAATTGAATAAATACGATTATTGTTAATTATTTTTTAAATACATTTTAATTATTATAGGTAGTAATAATAACCTTGATTTTACATTTTTTTAAAGACATTATTTTGTGGTCGTAGGAAAAATATTGTACATCACTTGTGTGAAAAGTACTTTTCCATAAAAAATGTCACTTTACACACTCGTAATGTAATATACTATTTACTATTAAATGAACATTTAAACTATTATTTGAATAGTTTCGCAGAGGCTAAAATTAATATGAAAAGGAAAAATCTTATTTAACATATTTAAATATTGTAAAGCATAGTATCTCTTTTCTAACAAAATAATAGATAAAATTATATAAAACATGTGATTTCTTGTGTGATGCAATGTGTTGAGGTTATGTTTCAAATTTGACATTTTAATAAAGAAATTCTTGTACTAAATATATATTTTCAACAAAATATCGGTAGGAAACTTACCTTTATAAAATCAGACGTTCATTAAAAATATTAAAGATAATTAGTACATCGGATGTCCAAGATAAAAGATAATTAAAATTCAATAATCAACTTGCTTGTCGATAGAGATAAAAATGAAATGACAATCCAAGTTTTAACACAAGGCATGAACGACAAATGACATTTGTGTAGAGATGTTGATTTCAAAATAACGAAAACGGTTCCGACCGTTATAATGTCTGGGTCAAATAACGAAAACGGTTCCAACCGTTACAAAATATAAAGTGTTCCTTAAAAAATAAGAAATTTGACACTCTGTATTAGTGAAAATAATTTTTGCTACGACCACCTAAAGTGACACGTATCCAGGGGCGGTTTCTCCATTGGTTCATTTGTGCAGTGAACACCCAGTTAAATTTCATAAAAACACATTATTTTAATATTACATAAATAACATAAAAATATAAATTTAATTTTAATACTTCTATTTTCATACGTGTTAATCTATATTTTTTTGGTACATCATTGTCCTCTGGTTGATCGCGTCTCTGTGGCACAGTATACCTAAGTATACTGTGTCTGTGGCGCACTATGATGAGTGAGCCTAACACGAGTGAGACGATATGCCGAAATGCATAAAGCTAAAAAGAGAAGACAACACGCCGACAGATCCTTCAAACTGTCAAAGAATACATTAATTGGCGCACCGCTCACAAACAAGGTTGCCAAACCAGTGTTGCCAGTCTAGTACAATTCACAATTGTACTAGATGTAGTACTTTCTGCATGCATCAGTGTTCACGTGTAAAATATATATTTATATATATTGTGTTCCTTGTTTGGGTTCATTATCAATAAAGACCCCCTTTTTTCCCTTTTAATGAATTAGATGTCATTGCAAATAGAATTCGAAAAATCTGATACATTTAAGGATGCTGGTACATTTTTTAGACAAATCTAATACATAACAAAAACATATTCTGGCAACACTGTATCAAATCAAACAAATTGTCACTGTCATTAGTTGTTACTCCTCTACTAGTAAATACAAAAAAAACGTAAGATTATATTAATTGTGGTTATTTAAAAAAATGTGTTTAATTAAGAACTGTGTCTTCAATAAATTGAAAGATGTGTGCCAATTCAACGATTGTTCCCGAAAGGCAAGGTAAATTAAAAATTTTAAGGTTATGTTGATTTATTTACATATAATAAATTTTTACGACTCTAATTTGTATTATATTTTGTTTTAGTGTCTAAGAACACCCAAGGACTACTTCAAAATGGTCTATTTTGTATTCAATTGTAAATACTATGAAGAAAGAAGTAAGCAAAAAAAATTGTACATTTCTTTTCTCACAAAACCTGCTAAAAGGAAAAATTGAATTATTCTGATGAGGTCACTAGACATCATTATGAAAATGTACAATAAAAATTTGATAAAGATAAAGAGACAAATGGTTTTTCACTTTAAAAGTCTGAATCGAAAAAATTGATTAAGGAGTTAATTTAATATACTCGATGATAAATTTTACCTAAGAAATGGTATGTACATTTAAATAGTTTACCTATATAAAGTTATGTTTGCCTGCAATTATCAATCGTGTTACCCTCTAACCAAGATCGTTTGTTGCATACAAACCAGAATTTTTTTTTATTGCCTTGTTTGTATAATTTAGTATTTTCAAAAATATTAGATGTTATGGTAATTTGAATCACTACAGGTATTAAATAAAAATAAGGCTATTGGTAAATTAATTTACAGTTGGTAATAAAGAATGTCTCGAAAAGAGTCTCGAAATAAGAATCAAACATAAATTGTGATTTTGATTAGGCACTTAACAAGTCACATCTCAGATATCTACATGCTCTGGCTAATCAATCCTATTAGTACATATCAAAACATTAATATACTATCTACAATTAAACAATAATTTGGAAATACAGATGAAGCCGATTTACCTATTTAAACAAAATTACTATTATTCTATTTATTAAAACTTAAAACACATTATTTTTTTAGTAAACTTGGACATGCAAAAGCAGCCATGAGGGTAGGACATTAGTGAGTGCAAGAATACTTTGAAATGTGCTGTGAAATACACATAGAAAGGATCATAATATGGAAAATTAAATGTGATAACATTTTACGATATATATGTCACTAGTTTAGTTCACAGATTTCTGTGTTCTGTGTTCAATTATGTGCTGCTATTTCAAACTTTTAGTATCCTTTGATAAAAGAAGTTGAATATTATTGTTGACCTTTTTAAATTGTTTATTTTATCTTATACATTTTTTTTTCCTACTCCTCATACAGTTTTTGTGAAGAGTATTATAGGTTTACTTTGTCTGTCTGTCTGTCCGATGTCACATTTTTTGTCTGCACTATAAATCAAAAACGAAAAATAATATCAATTTGAAAATTTTAAGCAAAAATCAAGCTCTATAAGGGGACAAAGCCTATTGATTTTTAACAAATCTGATTAAAAATAGGGGGTTAAGATGGATTGAAATTAAAAAAAAAATCCTAAATTATAAACGAAAAGCGATATCTACATGAAATTTTTAGTAAAAATGAAGCTTTATAAGAAGATAAAGCCTACTGATACTGAAAAAAATATGAATATATTGGGGAGTTAAGGGAGGTTAAAATATAAAAAAAAAACCTAACTGAAAAACGAAAAATAATATAAACTTGAAATTGTTAGCAAACATCAATTTCTAAAAGGAGAAGAAGCCCTTTAATTATAAAAAAAATCTGATTAAATATGGGGGATTTAAGGGGGGTTGAAATTAAAAAAAAATCAAAAATGAAAAGCGATATCAACATGAAATTTTTAGTAAAAATCAAACTCTATAAGGAGTTGAGGCCTATTGATTGTGAATACAAATTGTTTGAAAATGGGGACTAAGGGGCTCTGTTAAACTGAGAAGAGTATCATTTAGAATGCCAGGCATTATATATCTTTATTCTAGTTTGTGTCTGTGTAATATTATGTATTGTGATGGGACTGATCTTATAAAATAAACATTTAAAACATTTTAGTTCTTATTTTATTTGGCAATAAAAGTGTAATAACTGCTTTGTTACCCTCTTATTATCTTATTTGGGGGTATTATTTCTCTATACTACTTATTGACTGAACTATACTTTAACTCTGCATTGGTTTTAAATAGAACTTACATAAACTGAAAAGGGTACTTACTTATAGGTCTAACTTAGATGTCTATCAAGTCTAGTTGAGCGGTTTGGGCACTATAGTTTTCTACCAAATTAAATATCCTATTAGGGCGTGATTCGTCACGGCTTAAATGCGTGAAACCTTTTTTTTTTTTTGTTAGTTGATGGTTTTCTTTTCCTCAGATACTAAGTGGTTTTTCACCTAATAACTTTCACTGGGGTGTATGGGGGTTAAAATAAAACCCATTGGTAAATTAAACAAATATAATGAGTAAAATTGAAATTTAGAAAGATTGACGTAACAAAATAAAAATAAACTCGATAAATAACACACAAGGAACTTAAACAGAGTTCCTAGCAAAAAAAGTTGAGCAAAGTTTATGACGATGGATTCAATTGTAAGGTATTAACGTTATCTAAATAACAAATCGTTTATCCCTTCATAAAATGGAATTTACGATGTTGAAATGAAAATTGAAAGAACTGATACAAGCCGGTGACATGCCATTAAATCTAACATAATTTCACCATTGTCACAAAATTTAAGGGCTATTCAATTCGACACAAAATACGACCATAGAAAAACCCGACTAAGGCTTTTTTTTGTTTTAGCTACCCGTGTGTCTTTCGAAATCCGTATGTTATCGTATTGCATAAAAATGTTTTGAAATATATCTTGTTAATACAATTTTTTTTATTATACTGAGTGTTCTTTTTTTTTCTATACACATTTTCTTTGAAATCTCTGATTATTACACTACTCCCTCCTTTATAAAAGTATTGGGACTTACAAGTCCAATACCTTTTCTATACTATTAAAACTTAACCTACTACAATAAAGTTGACATGACCCGCACTTACAATTTCTATTACTTTATATTTGCGTACGCCACTGCACTACCTTTTCTTCTTTTTTTTTTTTTTTTGATGGCCGTACTACCCTTTTCGCTAGTTACTGCTATGGCTTCTGCGTGTTCGCCCTTAAAATGATTGACTGTTTATTTACTGCTACTGCTGCTACCGCGCGCACTTAACTTTGTTCATCGCGACCGGTTAATGTTTTACTTTCCAAAAGATTAGAGTCACTACCATTTAAGCACCCTTCGACACTTTTACATTTGTCAGTCCAATGATCTCGCGCCGCGATTTGTTCTTCCGTTAAGGCCCTTGAGGATCCCGGTTCAAGGGGTTGTTATTGTTTCTAGCTTCACTTCTTCAGGGTTGAGAGTCTTTTCTCTCTGTTTTCTGTGTATGACCCAAGACGTTAGGGTATTCCATACACTCGCTAATATGACTATGCCACATCCTAAAGTTTGATAGATGCGCAAGCCATTTAGTACTACCCCTAAAGTATATTGTATTATTTTGAATATACAATAGAATCCTATGAGACCACTCATAAATGTTCCAATTTCGGAGAACCATCCCCATAATTCTTTGATGGTTGATTCAGCTAATTTTTTCATTTCCGCAGCTTCAAATATATTTGATAGGGAGTATCCTTGACTATTTGCTTCCATTCCTGCCGCTCGACGTGCGAAAATATTTTGTACTGCTTTTTGTTCAGTTCCAAATGTTAAAGTTCGTTGAGCTTCTGTTATTTCTTTTTGGGTGTATAAGCCCTGGGCGCCTATTGGTTGGATTGGAGAAAATTCCAGGTTAGGTTCTGCTTCTACGGCTAACTCCTTTGGTGGAGTCGAAACTGTTGGATGTGGTGCTAATCCTATCCATTGGTCATCTAGGAAATATAGTGGCGGAATCAACTGATTGCAATCTACTTCTTCTGCATGGTTTTGTATGATCCTTGTCAATGGTGCCATAAATCTAGACTGGTTTGAGACTAGTATTGGTAGCTCATGGTAACATTTGTTTGTTCTTCTTATATTTACTGACTTGGGTGTGCACTTTAATATATACAGCGCTTCCCCGAGTACTCTTCCAACGTATCCCGGTGCATGTTGCATCAGTTGGCTTACTGCGTTTGGTAGTATCGGTGCCATTAGTAGTCGATTCTTTAGGATTTCTCTCCTCATTAAACACCTTCGGTGTATTGTATCTACATATAATCGATCTATGTCTCTTTTATATGCTTGTTCTATGTACAAAAATTTACTGTTGACATAGTTCATGAGGTTGACATTTTGTGGTAACAATGGCATTGTTGGGTTTAAGCCTCTTCCGTCGTTTTGTTTGCTTATAATTATTCTTGGATGTTCTGTTTGCCAGACTTCTATTCCGCAGACCATTGCTCGTTTTTGGATTGTTAGTGAAAATATTTTTGTGCCTTCTTCTACTACTATGACTTCTTCCATTGTGGCTTTATTTGTTACCATTTCTGCATTTCCTTTGTACAACTGGCTTAGGTGATCTTCGCAAGTTATTGGTTCGTAACTTGACCAGGCTGATTCTCCTAATGTTGAATCCATGCAATATCCTATTAGAAATGGACATGTGATTCCTCCTTGTAAATGTATTTCGTTATCTTCTAGGCTGACTGCTGCTAAGTAATCCCTGGCGAGGACTTTGATTGATGCGACTATGACCACATCTGTCCAGACGTTACCATTTTCTTGGTACATTACGCCTTTACATGACCCTGTATTATCTAGTTTGCCTTCTATCGTTACTGACGCTGTAGTGGTACCATTCATTAGTATGTTGCTTATGGTTTGGTGAAACAGCTTAAGTTCTTGATATCGGTGTAGCGCCTTGCATTCTTCTGCTCCCAATTTGTGGATGGTGTTTGATAGACCTCCGTTAACTATTGACGTGTGGCTGTGCATGCCACAGTAGAACATTACTCGCGAAACTTCAATTAGACAAGTCCATACTTTTTGTGTTTTTAGTTCATTTCGTTGTATGACTTGAACGTTTACCTTCGCACTCACGTATGCCGACTCCGGCGACGGGCATTGTTGAACGTCTTTTAATGAGATAACCGATACATTAGTCTGTGAATCCGAACAGTCATACGCGATTAAGCTATCGATTTGCTGGACGGTGAACGCTAGCCATATTAGTAACGTGATAAGGGTTTTACGGTGTTGAACCATTGCTGCTTTGTGCCCTGGATGGTGGTTTTTCTATTACCCCTGCACCTGTTACAACAGAGATAACCATTGATTTCTTTTCTGTCTTTTATCATTTGTGTTGCGCACGTCACCCGCGCACTGGTATCTTAAAGCTAAGTATACAAGTGTTCTTATTTTTAGTATAAGAGAAACTCCCTTAATTGTTATCCACCTATTTAAATATCTTATACTGTGTGAAGTTAAATAATTGCTTCCTATCCCTAAGTGTATATTTTCCCCGTATTGAAGCTATTCCTATATATTCATCTCAATTTAAAGAAAAAAAAAAAACAGTTTTCCAATTTTTAATCAAGATTAGTAACCGTGGAATATCATTATCAAGCCTTTTATTATCAAAAAAAAATGTCAATAAAAATTCCCCCAAAAAAAAATCTAAAAAAAAAATTCTAAAAAAAAAATTCCAAAATCAATTTCCAAAGTGAATTTGAAAAAATTTTTTTTTTTTTTGTTTTCAAAAAAAAATTTTTTTTTTTTTAAAAGAAAAATTCAAAAAAAAATTTCAAAAAAAAAAATTCTTTAACACAATCTAAACTGAAATTCAAAATTTTCCAAAATTCTACCCTTCTCCGTAATTATTTATATTCCGTATTATTTATTTAACGTATATTATTCTCCAAAATTTCCAGAACTATTAATTCCTCACTTAATCTTTAGGGTTTCGGTAATAACCTAATGGCCACTCGGTACATACCTCGTCCCTTGAGATATAGGTGGAATTCTTTTGACCTAATTATTCTACTTATTAATGATTAATGATTAATCTGTTTCTCCGATATGCTAATTATTTATTATTTACTTATTCCCAATGCGCGATATTCCACTATAAAATTAAACTGTTTTTTTTTTCTAATTAAGCCTAGGCTGTTTCCCAAAAGCATTTGTTAATTATTCCTAATTCCCAAATATTATCCTATACTTATTTTCTGAAAACTTGAGAGTCTACCCGTTTCTAGAATATTTTTTTTTTCTAATACCTCTCATACTATTCCCAGCTGATGTAATATTTCTATTCTATCCCCTAATATTTTTACTATTTTTCTTACTACTCAAGTAACCGCTCTTTACATCATTTCAGAACTGTTAGTTGAGACTTAGAAGTACGGTTATATTTATTAAATTAACCCCAATTTTTATATTTACTCCTATAAAAAAGATCTGCTACTCTGCTAGTCGAACGGCATCCTTTTCATGCTGTTCCTCTCAGCAAAATGTTGACCTATACCTGTCAAAGAAAAAAAAACTCCAATTATCTCGCCTTTTCACCCTATCCTTTTCGGACTTGTACTGCTTTTGGAATCCTTTCCCCTACGTCTCCTTAACATCCAGGTGGACTCCTAACCTGTAACATTAAGGTTGCAAGATTTGTCGCTCCTGCGTACGAGTACTTTTTCTCACCCCTCTTCATCCGTTGCGATACTTGTTTTGTTTATTATTATTAAAAAATATATTTGCCATCGGATTTCCGCGTGACCTTTGGGGAAACCCTGATTATACTGTAGCCTGGGTAACATACAGTCTTTTCCTTACCTATGCCGGGGAACGCAGGTTCCTCTCGGCGCGCGCAATGTACCATCCTCTGTCTCAAATTTTGAAGCCCGCAATGGGTAAAAGTGTCACGGGGTGAAGCCTCGAAACACTAAAATTACCGTCGCGCTGATGCTAGAGTAAAGGTTATTTAGTTTATAATAAAAAAATATATTGCCAAATTACAAGGAGACATCAAGTATCATTAACACGCAATGCTCGCGATTATTCATTATTCGAAGGTCGCCAGGTCCTTAAGTCCTGACCTGGGGACCGCGTGTGCAGAATGACACCGACATGGTGTCCCCACCCATTCTTCTGCGTCTTCGAAGCTCTCTGTTTCGAAGTCGCCTTCCTCTTCTGTTTTGAACTCTGGGAGTTCCTCGTTTTCTTCTTCTGGTTTGAACTCTGTGAGTTCCTTGTTTTCTTCTTCTTTTATTATTCGTTTTTCTCCTTTCTTATAGCTTCTAATAGCATGTGTGTAGCTCGGTGCACTTCCAAGTCTATCTCTTAGTCTTGTTGATCGTCTGAGTACAGGGGGTGGTCTGAATGCGTTTCCTATACTGTTCCTACGTTCTCGTTTGGGTTTTTTTATTTGTGGTTTAGGTTTGTTGGTTTTGTCCCCCCATAATGGTAATAATGCTGCTGTGGCTAAATTAACTTCTTGGTTTTCTTCTTCTTCCTCTTCTTCTGTGTTAGGGACTTCTTCTTCTTCTGATATTTCTACATGTGTGTTTCTTTCATCCATTTCTTTTCCATAATATTTCTTAATTCTATTTATATGCACAACCTGGGATGACTTCCCTTTTGGTGAAGTTACTCTGTAAGTTACTGGTCCCATTCTTTCTTGTATTTTAAATGGTCCCGTCCAATGTCTTTGTAGTTTTTTTGAGACTCCAATTTTTGAGCTTACATCTAACACATATACAAGATCTCCTTCTTCAAATTCTCTTTCTGCGGTCTTTTCGTTGTATCGTTTGATCCTGTCTGTTCTAGCTTTCTCTATATTTGCGTGGGCTTGAGTGTATACTTTTTGAAGTCTTGCCTCCATTTCTGATACGTAGTTGTCATCTACATTATATTTTATCCTCTTAGGCTTTATTAGTTCGTCTATAGGTAAAGTTTGGTCTCTACCGTGTAGTAAAAAATAGGGACTATACCCTGTAGATGTGTGTACGCTGCCTCTATAGGCCATTAGTACGTACGGTATCCATTGATCCCAATCTCGTTGATTTGATGCAATATAATGAGAAAGCATGTCTTTGAGTACTCTATGTAAACGTTCCACTTGACCGTTAGTGGTTGGAGCGTAGCTCGCTGTGTGCAATCTTTTTATGCCTAATAGTTTACATGTTCCTTGCATTAGTTCTGACATAAAATTTGTTCCTCTATCTGTGAGTAACTTTTTTGGCGCTCCGTGTCTGCATACTATGTTTTCTACAAAAGCTCTAGCAACTGTGTGTGCTTTTTGGTCCGGGAGTGGTATTGCTTCGCAATATTTAGTGAAATGATCTTGAAAGGTTAATAAATATTTATTTCCGTTGTCTGACGTTACCAGTGGTCCTACTATATCCATAGATGTTATCTCCCATGGTTCACTTACTGATGTGAATCTTTGGAGGGGGGCTTTCTTGAAATGTGGCGAAGTTTTTCTTCGATTGCATGCATCGCATTCGGTACAATATTTTGTGACATCTGTCCTCATGTTAGGCCAGAAGAATCTTTTCTTTATGGCTAATAATGTTTTTTGTTGTCCTTGGTGACAATGGAAAGGTGTATCATGAAAGTCTTCTTATACTTTTCTTATAAATATTTTTGGAACAACGAGTTTGTCTCTCGTGTCTCCGTTTTCCTGTAAGTATAATATACCTTCTTTATCCACAAAATATTTTGCTGATGTTCCTTCGTCCTCCTCTAGTTGTAATAATATTCTCTGGCAAAATTCATCTTTTTGTTGTGCTTTTTTCACTGTTTCACTGTCCCATATTGGTTCCCAAGTATTTTCTTCTTCGACTATATTTATTTTTCCTCCGAGTCTTGCCTTTTTCGTTTCCTGCAGTAGTACTTCTATGTACATTTGTGTCCCGTAAAATATAAATTGAACCATTTTAATTACTTCTTCCCATTTTAGTCCAGGTATTTGTTGGTTTGTTGTGATGAACGTTATTTTCTTCTCCTTGTTGGTTTCGCAGCTGATTTTTAGTTGTTTTAATCCTTCCCAAAGTATTTCGTACGATGTTTCTGTTTCTGGCGAGGTTCTGACGATTACGAGATATATTCTTCGATCAGCGGTGTTCCATTCTGTTACATTCTGCACTGTTTCATTTGACGTGTTTGGTGGACCATATATATTATTTAATGTTTTCATTGTTTCTTCCTGAGTTTTTCTTTCTTTGGTTGTAAATATTGCAATTGTTTCTCCTTCTGGTAGAGCCAAAAATTCTTCTGTTTTATATTTTACTCTATCTTTTCCTGGAAGATCGTTATTTTCTTTATACTCAAGAAAATCGTCATATGAAGGTTCTGCGTAATTTGTTGCTGCGTCATACATTCTGCTTAGAGCGTCTGCATTGCCATGTTTTCTTCCTGCTCTATGTATAACTTCAAAGTCATACTCTGCCAGTGTTAGTGCCCAACGTGTTAATCTTGAATTAGGATCCTTTAAGTTTAATACCCATTTTAGTGCTCTATGATCTGTGATTATGGTGAAGCGTTTTCCGTATACATAACATCTGAACGTTTTAATCCCAAATATGACTCCTAATAGTTCTTTTTCTGTTGTTGAGTAATTTTGTTCAGCCCTGTTTAATTTTCTGCTTGCATAAGCTATGGGTTTTTCCCTTCCTTCTCTTATTTGACTTAGTATTGCGCCAATTCCTATGTTAGATGCATCCGTGGACAATATGAATGGTTTTGAAAAATCCGGAAAAATTAATAATTTTTCTGTAGTTAGTGACGTTTTCAGTTGGTCCATTGCTTTTATTATTTCTTCGGTAATTTTAAATTTCGTGTCCTTTTTTGTTAATTCAACTAGTGGTGCTGCAATTTCTGTTATGTTTGGGATAAATCTTCTGTACCAGTTTACTATGCCTAAGAATCCTCTTACTCCTTTTACATTTTTTGGTAGTGGGTATTTATGGACTGCCTCCAGTTTTTCCGGATCTGGAGAAATTCCTTCCTGGGATATTATGTGGCCTAAGTATTTTACTTTGGGCAACATGAAATTACATTTCTTTGGTTTCAGTTTTATATTAGCTATTTTTAGTCTTTTGAATACTTCTTCTAAATTGTATAAATGATCCTCCTCTCCTGTGTAATTAAACACAATTATATCATCTAGATATACCATGCAGTTTACTCCTGTGAGTCCTGCTAATGTTGCATTCATAAA